CATATCTTATTCATGATTCAAGGACTTTCTTTTCCCTTTAGAGATGTGTTATGTAATTTGGGAGTCTTAGATAGACCCACTGAAGGGGTACTCCAATTGCCTCACCCTGTGTCCCTGTTCAGCATGGAAGAAGTCAGGGCAGTCTGCCTCCCCATTCCCTATTGGTTATTTGGGTAACCTTTTCAGAGGATGGTGTGATAAGAAAAGGAGGTAGGAATTGGCTAGGCAGTTAGGGTAAAAAGACCTTTAAGAAAAGTAGCCAGTTTCTTGGCTAAAACTCGCTATGTCCTTGGGCGCCTTAGCAGCATACTCTGTTCCAAAGGCCAAAAATGTCTAAAGTATTTGGGAGCTTTTCTCTAATCCTTAAAAGATTTTAGGGTTACCTCTTCAGAGAGGGGAATGTTAGAGTAGCAAAAACCCCCATAAAAAAAAGAAAATAGGGGGGCTGAAGAGATGGCTCAGCACTTAAGAACATCGAATGTTCTTGCAGAAGACCCAGATTCAAATCCCAGCACCCACATGGCAGCTAACAACTGTCCATAGATCCAGTTCCAGGGGATCCGATGGCCTCGTCTGTCCTCCATGGGCACTGCACAACACAGGTGCACTTACCTACATGCAGGCAACACACGCATACATGCAAGCAATACACGCATACACATAAAAATAGTAAATATTAAAAAAAAGGAAAAGAAGAAGAAAGAGTACATAAAGTTATCAGAAAAAAGTACTTAGGTAAATGAGAGCTCTTATCTAATCCTTAAAAGATTTTAGGGTTACCTCTTCAGAGGAGGGAATCTTAGAGTAGCAAAAAGCCCCAATTAAAAAAAAAATGAAGTAACAGTACATGAAGTTATCAGAAAAAAGTGATGGGGAGATATGGGAGGAGTTGGAGGGGAAGGAGTTGGCATGGATTTGATCAAAACACCTTATATGCATGTATGAAATTCTCAATAAGTTATTTTTTAAAAAGAGTAAAATGTATACAATTTGAGTAGAGAGAGAAAGGGGGTGGGGATTAACAGAGTCTTAAGGACCTGCTGGACTAAAAAGATCAGGAAGGAAAAGAGAAATGGTGGTGCTCAAAGAAATAATAGGCATTCCAGCATGGTGGCTACAACCCCAGAAAGTCGGGAGGCTGAGTTAAGAAGATCAAGAATTTGAGTATCAGGCTAGCCTGGGCGACATAGCCAGCCGCCTCAATATAAAGAATGGTTAAAAATGTCTCAACTGTGGTAAAAGCCATAACCTACAGATTCAAGAAGCTGAGAGAAAAGCCCAAACAGGATAAACCCAAAGAAATTCACCGATCTGAGTGAAAATGAAAATACATCATCTCAATATTTGTGGCACAGATGAGGCAGAGCTGAGAAGGAGTCTGTAGCACTTAACACATACTAGACTTTCCCAACGGTAATTTAGGTTCCACCTTAAGAACCCAGAACAAAGGGCAAAAACAAAGCCAAAGCAAGTAGAAAAGGAAATAATAAAGATGAGAACAGAAATGAAGTGGCCCAAAGAGCCAAGAGCCCTCACTGGAGGGCACCAAGAGGGAATGGCACAGGACTCAACTGTGACTGACACAGAGAGGACCATAAACCAAATAGCGACACTTCGGCTTCTTCCAAAGAAAGAACGCACATGGAAGGAAACAACAGGAAAAGTTGTGCTGAACCCTGGTGCAAAACCTCTCTGAGCTATGTGGTCCAAATGTGACTATAATCATCCTCTCACATTCTGGGCTGAGGTAAGAAGTAAAAAGTCAAGATCTTCGAAAGGTGGAAATGTCTTATTCAAATGTTTGAAACAATTAACAATAACATTTTCAATCCCTATTCCAAGAAAGCATAAAAGATCAAGCAGTATTCATTAAATTGAGGCCCAAAAGGCAAGCCACAAACATGAGCTAAATTTGCTGAATTTTATACAATTTGAATATTGTTTGAAATAACTTCCCAAATCCACCGTCCCCAATGTCACCAAACTCACTGACAATACTGGATATAAGTTTTCTAAAAAAGGCTTTCTTACCTCATAGAAGAAGGGGTGTCCAGCCATATCAAATATGTTAACTTTGATTTCTCTGTCTCTGACTTGGACCCTGAAATATTCAAATGGAAATAATCCCAAAGAAAGTTGTGTTTCTTCATTGCCCTTAATAACATTTATATCATTTATGGATTTCAAAAGAGGTAAGTATAAAATTTTACAAAAGCTTTCTTCTTGCCTCTTCTTAACTCCAGATAATGGTTACAAGGGCCAACAACTTGGCAGACAATCTTGCCTCCTTGCTGTGGAACACTGAGCCCCTTGAAGTAAGTACCCATCCTTCACCCTCACCTCAGATAAAGCCACAACCCTAAACCAACACATAGAGTTACTACAGTGGCATTAAGAAAAATCTATTTGATATTTTTCCATGGGGAAAGGAGCAAGTGAAACAAAAGCTTGCATTTTACTAGGAGACATCTTAATTATTTCTGGCTGTGTTTGGTTACAATGTCACAGAATAACAAAGACATATTTTATAAATAATGTCTAAGTTTTTCATGATCTTCATTGGAGAAAAAGCAATAGCCAACTTGTTTTCAGAAGCAGATTTGAAAATAAAGGACAAAAAAGAGAAACAATAACCATTCATAATATAATTCACTACTCTTTTGGGTTTTTTTTTTATTTTTTATTTTTTGGCCTTTTTCAGACAAGGTCTCCCTGTAGTGGGGCTGACCTGGAACTCACTATGTAGACGAGGCTGGCCTTGAACTCACAGAGATCCACCTGCCTCTGCCTCCCAAGGGCTGGGATTAAAGGCGTGTGCCACCATACCCAGCCTATAATTCACTACTCTTAACATATCTGCTTCTCATCTTTTTCAAAGAAAAATAGCCACTGGAAAATCATGAACACTAGAACTAATTCAAGACTTAAAGAAAAATACAAAGATGAACACTTAAGTTATCCCTGCCTGTGTCACTCAAAATAACGTTCATTAACATAGAGCATCACTACAGACTTCCATGCTCCGTGCAAGGTAACACTGATAACATTCTTTTTTTTTTTTTTTTCAATGTGTGAGTGTATTGCCTGCATGTATGTAGGCACACCCGTGTCATGCAATGCCAGTGGAGGTCAGAAGAAAGCATCAGATCCCCTGGAACTGGAGCTACAGACTGTTGTTAGCTGCCATGTGGGTGCTGGGAATCGAACCTGAGTGCTCTGCAAGAGCAGTCAGTGCTCTTAACCACTGAACCATCTCTCCAGCCCCAGCATATTCTTATAAAAATGGGTTTATAGTCTTATAATGATATGAAAATGTAAAATTTCTTTTTTTAAGCCAGGTGTGGTGGCGTACGCCTTTAATCCCAGCACTCGGGAGGCAGAGGCAGGTGGATCCCTGTGAGTTCAAGGCCAGCCTGGTCTCCATTAGCGAATCCAGTCTAGCTACCGCTACAAGGAGACCTTGTCTCAAAAAAAAAAATAAAAATAAAAATAAATCTCATTTTTTAACTGATTTTAATAGGAGGAAAAGAAACTGAAGTAAACTGAGAGGAATTATTGAGCTTTAAAACATAAATGATTCCTCAACACAAGTAGTATTATTATAATAACAGCTCCCTCTAAGGCTAAGAGAATATTAGCAGTCAATGAACACACTGGACTCACTATGCCTTTTAAGCATCATGTTTTAGGTTTAACCAGTACGTACAGGAATCTCACTTCCTTATTAATAGCATTGTCCAAGTTTACAGCATTCATTTTCTATTCTGAATCAACAATTCCTGTAGTCGTTTTATATTACTTGTACATTTAAATCAAACTAACCACTAACCATCTTATGATTTCTTGTTCCTGAGTTCTGCATATTCCATTAATTCTACACTGTCTACTTATTTTCATTCCATGTTCAGGCAATGATGTACTGTCTACCCCAAATCTACTCTTTGGAAGAGTTTTTCTCGCTAATTTCATCCTTTTGCCAACTCACTCTTGATTTATCTCCAAAGAATTCCCACTTACACCCAACTTCACTCTTCCCAGCTCATTTTGCTGGATTCCAATAAGCTACGAAGATGATAAACCAATAAGGAATAGTCTCTGCAGAAAAATTTTCCACATAGTATTTAGATATTTTAGAGAGAATATTTAAAAAAAGTCTAAAGACACCTGATGACAGGCCCTGCTCACACAGAAACCCGTGTCCTGAAAAGTTCCACCAGTAGGTTAGGCTTCTTGGCTCACCACTGTCGATCCTACACTAATGCCAGGCTTGGAGAGGCAGGCACTCAATACGCTGGTTGGAGGAAAGGATGATAAGCTTACACGAAGTGAAAAGATCTCTTGGTCCTACCCTTCACAAATCATCTTCAAAGCCTCTGTTGCGATGTAACCCACACAAATGCTCTGATGCAAACACAGATTCATTTTAGGACAAGTTCTGAATGACTGTAGTGCAATGCTTAAGGAAACAATATACTCACTTTGTGACTCCATAGTCAATTCCAATTGTTGCCAGGTATTTAGACACAAATCTTTTCTCACAGTACCGTTTTATAATACAGCTCTACAAAGAAAGAAAAAAATCATGCATTTGGTAAATACACTGGAAAGATGCAAAACATGCACATTTCTTCATTATGGTTTTTTCATTCATCTCTATGAAAAAGTGCTTTCAAATGTAAAAACTAGTTGAGCAAGGTGGCATATACCTGTAATCCCAGCACTAGAAAGACAGAAATAGGATGCTCCAGAGTTCAAGGCAGCCAGCCTGTCTCAAAATAAAAAACAAAACCTCAGGGGCTGGAGAGATGGCTCGGCGGTTAAAAACACTGATTGTTCTTGCAGAAGACCTGGGTTCGAATCCCAGTACCTACAACTGTCCATAACTCCAGTCCCAGGGGATCCGATAGCCTCTTCTGACCTCCGTGGGCACTGCATGGCACAGGTACACTTACCTACATGCAGGCAATACATGCATACACATTAAAAAAAAAAAACAAAACTCAAAGACAAGAACAAAAAATATAACACAATTGAAGTACAAAGTGAGTATTTTAAAGACTAAAAATAGAAATATCAGGGGCTGGAGAGATGGCTCAGCGGTTAAGAACACTGGTTGTTCTTCCAGAAGACCCGGGTTCAAATCCAAGCACCCACATGGCAACTAACAACTGTCCGTAATTCCAGTCTCTGAGGATCTGACAGCCTCTTCTGACCTCTGCAGACACTGCACAACACGGGTGCACTTACCTACATGCAGGCAATACACGCATACACATAAAATAAAAATAATAAATTTTTTAAAAAATCGAAATATCTTAATAGTAAATATGGGTAGATTTTCAGTTTTAGTTCCAATCACTGTGCTCTTTTCTTTGAAGATCATTTCCATTCCTATACTTTCAACACCACTGTGGACTTCCTTGACTTCTTGACTAGCCTTGACTTCCCTCTCAGGACCAGATCTGCATCTCTAAGCATCTACTAGATGGTTTTTACTCAGAGCTGCTGTCACCTAATTCAACATATCCCCAAAGGAGCCAATCTTAGACATGACTGCATCTCATCCTGCTGACATCTAGCCCTATTAATGATGTCATTTCCCCAAAGTTAAAGTTGCATTTGATTCTGGGCCTAAGTCTTCCTTTGAGTATGCCTTCTGTCTTTGTTTTCCTTCCAATGTCTACTGATAACACTTTGATTTAGACCCTGGTCATATGCTGTCAAAAAACTATGGAAAACTCCCCTCTGGTCTCTCTGCCTCCTTTCCCTCTGAGCATCCATCAATGCTACATATTTTCTTCATCACTAACTCAAAAATCTTCACTTGTTTATATCATCATTACCCTTAGTATCAATATCCAAAAGGTGAAAATAACCCAGATGAATAAATAAAATATATCCATACAATGGAATGTATTTCTGCAATACGAAGGGCATACTGATATATGCTGCCACACAGATGAACTTTATAGATGCCATAATAAAAGAAGCTTGTCGTAAAAAGATGATGTAGCATATGACTCTATTCATATGAACTAGTCAGAACAGGTAAATTCATAGACAGAAAGTAGGTTAGTGGTTAGGGGAAATAGGAAGAAACTCTTAATTGCTGGAGTTTTGTGGGTTCTTTTTTTTCATGAGATGATGAAAATGTTCTATAACTGATTATGGTTAACAGTTGTATATAACCTTGAATGGAAAAAAAACAAGTGAATTGTATTTATTTATTTATTTATTTAATTTCATTTAGGTCTTTTTGAGACAGGCCCCAGCTGGCCTGGAACTCATAATGTAGACCAGGCTGGCCTTGAAGTCACAGAGATCTGCCTGCCTCTGCTTCCCAAGTACTGGGATTAAAGGCATGCACCACGACATTTGGGTGAATCGTTTAAGTGAATATTATGTGAATTATAGCTCATTAAGTTTTTCTTAAAAAAATTTTTTCTTTTTAAATTGTGTGAGTGTGTGTGTGTGTTATATGCTCATGTGAGTACAGGTGCCTGCAAAATCCAGAAGAGAGTATCAGATCCCCTGAAGCTGGAGTTACAGGCAGTTGTGTGGGAACCAAATGTGCATTCTCAGTAAGAGCAGTACATGCTCTTAACCACTGAGCCAGCTCTCCGCCCTCATTAAGGTGTTTAAAAAAATTTTTTTATGGCTTTTAATCTTTGGAGAAGAAAAAGGGTATTTTAAAGGGCTTATTTCTTTTATTTTTCTCCAGTTTTATTATTATTATATGTGTGTGTGAGTATGGGTGTGCATGTGCCACAGTAGAGGTAGGAGAACAACTTCTGGAAATCAGTTCTCTTCTTCCACAGTGGGTTCTGGGAGTTGAATTCAGGCTTGCACAAGTGTTTTTTATTTTTTTTAAATCAATTTTTCCCACCTACTCATCCCTACCTCCCCAAGGGTTTATTCCTTTCTATGTGTGGAGTTTGAGATTTCTGTGCGATCTTTGTTTATATTTGACTTCTGGTATTGACAATCAATGTACTCCAAGCTCCATGCCACTTCTCAAAGTCTTCTAGGACCCAAAATTACCTAATGTTTTCATTTACCATTGACCTCAAGTCTCTTTTAACATATGATGTTAATTTTGATAACATATTAAAAAAATAATTGTAACTAAAACTGGTGGTTACAGCTTTAACCTATTAAGCATGCTTTTCAAGACTGCCCAACTATGACTAGGCGTAGTAGCACAAGCCTTTAATTTTAGCACTTGGGAGGTAGAGGCAGGCAGATCTCTGTGAGATCGAAGCCAACCTGGTCTACATAAAGAGTTCCAGGTTATCCAACCCTGTCTCAAACAAACAAACAAACAAACAACTGCCCAACTTTTGCACACAAAGAAAACCTTTGAGACAAGGTCTCTCATTGGGACCTGGGGCTATTTGATTAGACTAGGCTGCACGGCCAGTCAGGCCCTAAGGATCTGCCTGTCTCTGCCTATCCAGTACAAACCTGTGCCACCACACCCAGCTTTTTGCGTGGGTAATCAAATTTAGGTCTTCATGCTTGCATAGCAAGCACTTTACCAAATGAGCTATCTTCCCATTCTTTTTAACACATAGTTGGTACAGAATTGACATTCAATAAATGTTGATTTTCAGCAAATGCTCCATTAATACGTACACAAGATACGTAAGTAGTATCTAGAGCATGCTAAATAGTAAGGCGCTAATAAATAATTTCCTAGTTTGTAGGGCCTGAACACTCCCCAAGCAGCTCTTCTGCATTTGCAAGAGTGAAGACTCAGCTACTAATTCCCTCTCTGTCATTGATGTGATGACCCTGGGGATTCTTAACCAACAGCTTCCACTTACCAAAGGGAAAAACTTAAGAAGAGGCAGTCTTAGCATACATTTGGAAAAGGCCTTACTTAGGTCACCTCACCCTTCCCCTCCCCATGCTGGAAGTTTAATAGTTGATCCCCAGCAGAAGGAATAGTGAGAAAGGTGGTAAAAACAGCAGGGCTTCTTTGAGAAAAAGGATGTGTGACAATACGGGAAATTTAAAACAAAAACAACGCAGGATCCTCAGCACTCATTGCGCATCCCTGTGAAACACACCGGGTGGTTATGCTCTTAAGAGGGGAGCTAGACTCCAGGCAACTCAGCGATATTCACTAATCCCAAGACCTCACAAGCACCCCATTAAATTGCAGTGGCTCCCAAGCAATGCTGGAGTAACGGCTCTCTGCACCTGTCTGGTCTCCCCAGAACACAGCTATCTAAGTAGACCATCCGACCATGAGACGTCAGCATCCTTAGTTCAGAATACATGCAAGAGGCAGAAGCCCCACCGACACTTCTTGGGGAACGTGACGTCAGTGGAGAAGGGGGCAATGCAAAGGTCAAAAAGGTCAGGATAGTTTTCCCCGCAGGGTAGCAAGCTCTCGGAGAGCCGGCCACCTAGGCCTGGAGGTCGGGCCGGACTGTTGAGTGGCTTCTCTCCCAGCCAATGGGCACGTCGCCCTGCGGCGCTCTGGCCCCACCCCTCGCAGTTCGCGGTACTCACTTTCCCCACTTCGGCGTTGCCCATGGAGATGACTTTGATGCGGAGGGACTTGCCGGGCTCCTTCCGCTTCGGCATGTTAGCCTCCATTGCCCTCGCCCTCTCGGGGCCGAGGGTTCCGGTGTCCCTATGCACCCAGCCGGCCTGTCCCTCAGGCTTCGTCACCCAATAGCCGAGTCGCTGCGCTCATCACCGCCCGGGCTCCGCGGCTCGCCATCCCTGCCGCTGCCTGGCCGCGAGCGCCGGCAGTTGGGAGCAGCGAGCGAGGGAGGGCGGCGGAGTCTCGCGATGTTAGCGTGCCGTGACGTCATCGCGGGCGCAGGCGATGCCGTTGTGGTGACTCGGCCCTCCCCGTCGAGGTCTCTCGGCTGGAAGGTGGCTCCTGGCGGTTTTGCGCTTCCGCGCTTCCGGAAGAGCGCAGCTGGGTGTGCCGGCTTGCTGGGGCGCCAGGGCGAGCTGCTCTCACTGTTCGGGCAGCTCCTGTTCTTGGGAGTTTCTGAAATTTAGTTCAAGGCCCAGCCACGCCAAAATTCTAAGTAAATCACGACCTTTTTTCTGGAATCTCACGTCCCCCGACCCCTGCAACACAGTGGCTCCTCAGTATCCGCCAGGGATTAATTCCAGGATCACGGGGTTCACCTGTGGATACTCTAGAAACATTTAAAAATGGCATAATCTTTTCATGTAACGTGTGCACATTCTCAGGCCTACACTAAATCACCTCTATTATAATACCAAATCAACGTTGTATATGCTATTACAATGTGAATGCTATTGATACGTAAATAGTTGATTACTATATTGTTGTCCTCTAGGGAATAATCACAAAAGGTTCACAGGTTTAATACACAATCCCCTCTCCTGATTATTTTTGGTAGACTGTTGATGGAATCTGCAAACAGCCTGCAAGCCCAGAGAACTGCCTACCTGATATGTCCAGCTCCCTGAGAGGTAATTCAGGTGAGAACTGGGGAGTCAGACCCTGGTTCTGGAAGAAGACCTTAGGCAAACTCTTGAGTCTGGTTCTTCCCTTGTTAAAAATGGAGCTGCCCATTTGGAGTCGAGATGAGGTTTTAGTTTAGTTTGCTCCTCTCTTACCTAGGTCCAATGGTCTTGGGATTAGTTGACTCATCTTGAGGAGGAAAGCACAGACTGGATGTTTCTTATGTTCTTGTCCAGCTCTGTGAGGGTGTAGGGCTGTAGCTGTCATCTATCAGGTTCCTCCTCTGACTGTCGCTGACATCCAATCCTAACCTGACGTCCGATCTTATCCCAGCATCCTGTTCCCTCTTTCCCCTTAGCTGACAAGGTAAGATAGAATAAAGAATTCTGAGACAAATTCTTGTTATTCCAGGGGATGAGGAAAGCAGCTTTTTGGAACAGTAACTATTTTTTAGTCAATATTTTCAGATAGAGAAAGTAAGTAGAACTTGACAAATGATTATCTAGTGTCCTGGCTGTCAACTTCTCAGCAAATTACAAAGGTGAAGGTCGCTTTGCTTCTTTTCTTACACGGCTTTAAACGTTTTACATGCATTGCAGGACAATGAATAAAGGCTGAAATTGTCAGTAGTTTTAAGTCACGTTTCAAGCATGTTTATTTGAAAACATTAAATACTTTTAAGAAACAGGTTATCCTGGATTGTTGTCATAATCGATAAATAATGGGACAATGAAATACTTAGAATCCTTTTACAAAATGAAATGTAAGACCTAGAGTTTTGGTAATTTAAAACTCTATAGAATGACTCTTAAAATCCAAGATACTGAGCTCTTGTGAGTTAATAAATCACTAAATATCTACTTTTGATAATTTAGTGTTGGAAGAATAATTACAAAATGTCATATCTTCAATTCTTAAAAACTGATTTAGGATAGGTATTATGAGGGCAAGAGCAGTAAGCCAGGTATGGGAGATACCCTTAGCCCTATTTGGGACCCAGAAGCAGGAGGATCCCATAAGCTCAGAAGTTTGGGGCCAGCCTAGGCAATGTAGCAAGATCTTGTCTTTTTTTAAAAAAAAAAAAAAAAGTAAATACATTTAAGATTTAAATTCATTACTATTTTTTCGTATATTTTTGATGCTTTAATATGTATAACCACAAGTTCTGCATGTATTAGTTTGCAATTGAAAAGTCAAGAAAGCTGGCCCTCTTTTCAAGTATTTGAAAATAAAAAGAAGAAAGAGAAGCCTGGGCCAGCTGTGTAGTGTGGCTTGGAAGGTTTAGTGTGAGTGTGAGTTCTGGAGTCAGCACTGTCATGTTTTCTGATGGCATCACAGGGCATGTGGTAGTGGTAAAAATTGTAGGCGCTGATACAGGTGAAGTACAGTCACAACTCAGGAGACTAATCTCCAAGAACCCTGTGGATATCTATGAATGCTCAAAGTTTTTTATGTAAAATGACACAGTGGCATAACCTTGACACATCTCCAATATATTTTAAATTACCTTTGTATTACTTATAATAACTAATACAATGTAAATGATATACAAGTAGTTGTACCATATTGTTTAGGAAATATTGACAAGAAGAGTTTATACATGTTTAATACAAATACAGTGTTTTTTCCCCAAGTATTTATAATTTGTGAATGGCTAAATCCATGGATGTGGAATCCACAGATACAGAGGGCCAATTGTACCTGGTAATCTCTCATTGAACATTAGCTGTTTGCTTTCACTTACTTGGGGCTTTTTTGTTTGTTTTTATGTATTAATAAAGAATCTTTTTTTATTTTTTTTTGGCCTTTTTTGAGACAGGGTCTCCCTGTAGCCCCAGCTGTCCTGGAACCCACTATGTAGACCAGGCTGGCCCTGAACTCACAGAGATCCACCTGCCTCTACCTCCTGAGTGCTGGGATTAAAGGCGTGCACTACCACACCTGGCTTAATAAAGAATCTTTAAAAAAAATTTTTTTTTTAATTTTATGTGTATGAGTGTATTGCCTGATGTACGTAAGTGCACCCATATTGTGCAGTATCCTGAGAGGTCAGAAGAGGGTGTCAGATTCCCCTGGAACTGGAGTTACAGATGGTTACTAGCCACCATGTGAATGCTAGGAATTGAACCTGGGTCTTCTGGAAGAGTAGCCAGTGCTCTTAACTACTGAGCCATCTCTCCAACCCAATTTTTTTTTGAGACATAGCTCAGGCTATCCTCAAACTTATGCAGCTGAGGATGGCCTTGAACTTCTGATTCTCCTGCTTCCACCTCTGAGTGCTAAGATGGCCACCACACCTGGTTTTGTGTGGTGCCAGGAACTCTACCACCTGAGCTACATCCCCTACTCTTTAAATATGTATTTTTAAGAGTAAAATTTGAAATATTTTGGACATACTTAAAGGTATAAAGAAGAGTAATACTCATATGGCCACCACCCAGATTAAGAAATGAAACATCAGCAACTCTGTACACCCTTCCCAGTACATCCCTCCTCCTCTACAAATGGTTGCAGATATCATAATTAGTGCTTTGAGTGTCCAGGCATTTAAAAATGTTTGAATGCAGCCAGGCTTGGTGGCACATGCCTTTAGTCCCAGCAGTTGGGAGGCAGAGGCAGGTGAATCTCTGTGAGTTCAAGGCCAGCCTGGTCTATATAGTGAGTTCTAGGACAACTACGGGTACAGGGAGACTCTGTCTCAAAAAGACCAAAAAACAGAAACAACACCCCCCCAAAAAACCGCCCAAAAACAGCAACAACAAAAAATAAATAAAAATGTCTAAATGCATATTTCACATACCTTAACATTTAGTATTGCATTTCATCTTTAAAATTTTTTATTTTGAGGGACTAGAGAGATGACTCAGCAGTTAAGAGCACTTGCTGCTCTTGCAGAGACCTGAGTTCAGTTCCCAGCACCCACATGGCAACTAACAACTCTAAAACTCCAGTTCTAGAGTGGGCCAATGACCTCTTCTGGCCTCCACAGACATTGCATGCATATGGTGATTACACATACATGTAGACAAAACATTCATACACGTAAAATCTTTTAAATTTTTTCTTTATTTTAAAATAATTTAGTACTGAAAAGTTTAAAGAACAGTACAAAAAATAAATCATATATACCTTTCCAGAGCCATCAATTGTTAGATATCTTAATTCGTTTACTATTTAGGTTGTGCCAACTATATGTGCATATATGTACACATAGTTTTCTCAATCATTTGAAATTAATTTACAAACATTTTTATCCATAAATACTTCATTATACATTTCTAAGAACAAGGACTTTATCTTATATAGAAATAATACATTTATCAACATTAGGCAATTTAGGGCCAGCAAGATGGCTCAGCAGGTAAAGAAAGGCACCTGCTGCCAAGCCTGATGACCTAAGTTCAAGTCCCCAGGACCCACATGGGTGAAGGAGAGAACCAACTCCTGAAAGTTGTTGTCCTCTGACTTACACACACACACACACACGCACACACACACACACTGTGGCACAGGCATGCTCACATACATACAAGCACATGCACTGTCCTGGATAGCTTTAGTGTCAACTTGACACACTTGGGTTGAGGGAGCCTCAGTTGGGGAATTTCCTCTATTGGATTGGCCTGTGGCCATATCTATGGAGCATCTTCTTGATGAGTGATGTGGGAGGGCCCAGCCCACTGTGGGTGGTTCCACCCCTGGGTAGGTGGGCCTGTGTTGCATAAGAAAACAGGCTGAGCAGGGGCCAGGGAGCAAGCCAGGAAGCAGTGTTCCTCCATGGCCTGTGCTCCAGCTCCTGCTTCCAGGTTCCTGCCCTGAGTTCCTACCTTGGGCTCCTTGATGAACTGTGACCCAGGAGATGTAAGATAAATAAACCCTTTCCTCCCCAAGTTGGTAGTGGTCAGTGTTTTGTCACAGCAATGAAGAAACAAACTAGGACATGCACATAAAAGAAAATAAATGTATTTTTAAAGTTTAAAAGATATCGATGAATACAACATTTAAACAGCACTATTGTATAGTCCCTTGAGTCTCCAACTGGGCTGAGATGCTCCACCGTCCCACAGTGAATTCACAAAGGGATATCTGGAGGGTTCTGAATTTTCAAGGCAAGCAGAATGAAGCGACTGCAAAACTACTGGTTTGATGCTGTTTGCAATTCCAACAGTAGATGGTGCCACATTGCTTGTATATGTCATACTGGAAACCTGTGTCAACAGGCTTTTATGATAAACAGCAAGTACAAGTAGGATGCCAAGAAAAAGGGGTGGGAGAGTAGGACAGGAAATGAGGTGGTTTTCCAATCTGAGCCCAAGGCTTAGGGA